ACATGCACCCTGCAAAGAAAGAAGATTACCTTGCTGCCATTAGAGCGTTGAATGAAGAAGAATGGTTTAGACAAGGAGGAGTTTACGGAATGGGAAGCAAACGATTTGCAAGGGGAGCAAGTGGTAGTAGTCAACCGCAATATCGTCGCACTTCGAGACCCACTCCGATCTCCTTCGGTACCAATGCCACATAAGAACACTAGAGCAAAACAGAGAACAATCAAAGGCATGATTAGAAACTCAGCAGAGGTACTTGGAAGATACTGTAGCAAATTCTTCATACTTGAGAATGTGACTCCTCAAAAAGCAGGTTCCCCTCATTTCAAGAACATGATTGATGCAGCCCAACAAGCAGGTTTTGCTTTATTCCTTATGACTTTCCTTTCTTGAACTTAAATATTCTAAACACACCAATTGCTAATATGAGTTCGATTATATTAGGCCAAGGCGTAGCCACACCATCTCTATATGAAATAAAGCATAAGTACTTAGATATGGAACACACAAACATGCAAGTCTATGTGGAAAAGGTAAGGGAAGATTGGGGCGTGTATGAATGCACCATCATGAGTGATGGATGGACTGGCCCGACGAGGTTGTCCATAATAAATTTCATGGTCTACTCAAACGGGAAAACAATTTTTTTGAAATCAATGGATGCTTCAAATAAAACCAAGGATGCAAAGTACATCGTCAAATTGTTAAAAGATGTCATAAAAGAGGTTGGGCCATCGAATGTTGTTCATATTGTCACTGACAATGGTTTAGCCTTTATTAAGGCTGGAGAGATAATGATGGAGCAGTATCCTATTTATTGGACTCCTTGTGTTGCACATTGCATTGATCTAATATTTGAAGATATTGGGAAGCAAGAGTCGGTGGCTAATGTCATAAATAAAGCTAGGAAATTAACCAACTACATTTACAATCATGGTTGACTATTGGGTCAGATGAGGATCTTCTGTCAAGGAGATTTGGTCCGACCCGGTGCAACTCGGTTTGCGACAAACTACATCACCATTAATAGCATCTTAAATAAGAAAGCTGGGCTGAGGCAACTTTTTACAAGTGAGGAATGGTATAATAGTCGATTCAGTGAATCAGAAGAAGGGAAGAGAATTGAAAGTCGAGTCCTTGATCATAGATTCTAGGATGCCATGGAAGAAGTGCAATCCATCTATGAGCCTTTGTATAGCATTCTGCGAATTGTTGACACAGAGGTAGTTTCTACAATGCCTATCTTATATGATATGTTTCACATAATGAAAGAGAAGATTTTGAAGTTGAAGGGAAAAAAATGGATTCTCAAAATCATCAATCACAGATGGGATGTCACATTATCTCATCCATTACATCAAGCTGGTATGTTTTAATCTCTTAGTAAAAACATGCATCAATTTTTAAATTTATACAACGGACATTAACTAATTTTCATATTTGTAGCCCACTACTTGAACCCTAGATATCAATATGAAACAGGGGTTGGCCACAATAAAGAGTTACTTTCAGGACTCCAACGCGTATTTGAAAGGTTGAATCCAACTGGGGATATAGGTTTGCAAGCATTTGGGGCCGAGGTAAGTGAACACAAAACAATGTCTACCTCATTAAGTTTAGTTTTATGCATACTGAACACAAAACATTGTGAATCCAGGTGATAAATTTTAGAGACTATAGAAAGACATTTCGCACTGAGATGGCCGTCAAATCAAGAAAATCGATCCCCCCAGCAGAATGGTGGAATCTTCATGGTGATTCTGCCTCGAACTTGCAAAAAATTGCTATGCATATATTGTCACAGACAGTATCATCATCGACATGTGAGTGAAATTGGAGTACATTTGCTCTTATTCACACGAAACAAAGGAACCATCTCGCATATACTAGGCTGGAAAAGATTGTCTTTTGCTATTATAATATGAAACTCAAGCTACGTGATGAAAAGGACGAAATGAACAAGGTTGCAGAAAATGACTATATAGACCTTCTTGACATTGCAGGACAACCATCTGATGATGATAATAATCCAATTCAACAATGGATTATGACAACTCACTTGGATGATGAACAAGGCAACCCTGATGCCGTTATAGCACAACATGCTGCCCAAGAAGGAGTTGATGTTAATAGAGTCATATCCGAAGATGTTAGGAGTGGAGATACTTCATCATTTGAAAGGGATATGCTTGGCACTCGGCAAGGTCAAAGACATCCCTTGAAAGACGATGCCAGTACTAGTAGAAAGGAAAGTTCATCCAATTCGTCAGATAATGATGGAGGAAGTAATGATGGATCAGGAGGTAATGAAGAAGGAAGACAATATAGCCCATTTACTATCGAGGCTGATTTTACTCATGCCACCCATGATGAGGATCGTGGATGCAGAGAACCTGGACCAGGCATTGGCGCAATTAGGAAGCAATACTCAAGGAAAAGAAGCCAACCCATCAATTTATCTGAAGATGACATGGTGATCAGTTTTGGATCTATGAGCATAGGAACTAGACCTAGTACTAACTCAAATGAATCTTATGATGGCTATGGGTATGTCATGTCTGATTATAGTGGAACTAGTTATGGAGCTCAAGATGATGAAACAGACTATGGACCTACTAGTTGGGTTAATCCTAACTATCCCATGTATGGAAGGACAGTAGAAAGCTCAAGAAAGACATATGTGCACCATGTTCAAACATGGCTTACAAACTGCTCGGGTTACATGACTTGGTATGACTATTGTATGAATCTAGATGGTTGTTCCTCATTGTTTGAACCTCATAGGAGCTCTTCATTTATGTAGTTGGACACTTATCTAAATTGTAATCTAATGTTTTAACAAACTATGGTTTATGCATGGTTTATTCATTCTAATAAACATTTTAATAGAAAACTTTTTGTTAACGTGCATTACATACCACTTATATTTCATCATATATATATATATATATATATATATCTTATTATTAATAAATTTTGAGTTTTATTTGTTCAATACATTCATTGATAATGTACATAACATCTATGAAAGTTTTAGACCAAAATTATGTGTTTCAATGCCTATATCTGCCATTTTTGTTGATTTTTTTCCGATACCTAAAACGATAATGATATATCCCCTGAAATATCAGTAAATTGGAGGCCCGATATTATCTGCACGGCTGATATTTTAATCCTTGGTTAAGTCCACTAGGCTTAATTCGATCGATATACATTGCACACAAAGGATGAAGGGGACGAAATTATCATAATTAAGAGCACCTATTGATTTAATTATCCAGTTGAGAGACAAGAAAGTTAGTTAGAGATCATCTGAAACATGAGTTCCTCCCTCTGTGCGTGTGTGAGAGAGTGAGGGAACGAGAGATCTGATCATGCAGGTAGTTGGTCAACCTCAACCTCGGGCCTTGCTTCAAACATTTTAGCCACCCACATCCCTTGATCCTTTCTAATCTTTATCACCCACAGACCCAACAAAAAATCTTAAACGGGCAGCGACTAGCGGCCACATGCGCAGCCTGCAAACTAGATGCCTCTGGCGGATGGATATACAGTTGCACACCATGCATTTGCTTCCTTCCCGTCTCATGTTCACAAATGCCTTTAGCAAAATCACGCATCCGTTTGATGAAAAAGAACGTATCCTACGAACTTTGTTCCCAACCCCATTATATTCTGATGGGGTCTTCAATTGCCGTACATGCATGAAGCACGTACATGGATTTTCCTAGCACTGCGGAGATTGCAAGACCGATCTCCAAACAACTTGTGCTTCAAAGCCATTGGTTCATACTCACCACTCCCACCCTCACCAACTCCTTCTCTCCTTCTCACTTCCTCCGGGGCCTACCAGCAGCGAGACCTTCATGTGTCATTAATGCAACCAAGTTGGGTGGGTACAAAGAGTGGCTCTACTTATGCCATCCTTGTGGTTTTGCGGCTCATTTGTGCAAAATTCTTAAAGTAACTTTCTTTATCATTGCACATGTTTTTTTATTATTAACGACATTTTTTAAATTATTAAGGCCATTTTCTTTTAATTTAAAACCCTCTTGAAGTGTGGTTCTTTTTTTAATTCTTTGTCCTTATAACATAAAGAACATCCTTAATAATAAGTAAAGTTGTTTAAGTGTTATTCTATAAAAAAAAATAAAAAAAAAATTAATTGTTTAAAATTAATGTATGAGAAAATATCAAGATTCAAGAATAGCAGCCTGCAGCCTATATTGGGCTCCAAGTCAGGGTTTGAGGCAGGGCAATTGACGGGCCTAAGCGAGTCTGGGCCGTCTCCCAGCAGACCCGGAGGGAAACCTAACGGCACACAGGCAACAGCACGTTATGGTCATGAACTGGCTTGGCTCCAAGGCGGTATATTCCCAGTCGCTTATCTGCCATTGGCGCCTCTGTCTCTCTCTCTCTCTCATGCACAAAACACAGAGGAAAGAAGAAATAAATGAAGCAGCTGGCTCCTGGGTCCTTGGCCGATCCTATACCTATACATATACATACAGGTATAGCTTTATTCAATTATTTCTTCTTTCCTTTTTAATTTGTTCCTGTAGTTGTTCTCTCTGTTTAACGACGATATATCATATATAATGTTTAAAGGTACATAAATCTGATCATCTGCCAATTGGAAATCTTTCCTTGTTGATATTTCTTGATTCGTTGTTTGCCTGGACTTACGCAGGGCTTGTAATTTTCCTGAATCAAAGCATAATTAATTAGAAAATGGTGATGTACGTTTGAGTTTTCAATTTTCAAGGAATTTTTTTTTTACCAGGGTTATGTAATGTATGAGATAAAATGTTCAGTTTAATTTGTTTTGGTTGTATTGAAGTGATGAAGCATACCCCTTTAAATCCAATGACATTGTTTTTGCATGTTTGACAGGAAAGTAACCTTGTTTGTTGCTTATTTTCTGGTAGTGGGTGACTCAAATTGTTCTGGATTCAACTGGGTTCTTGTTCCGAAAGGAATAAGGTTGGTGGAAATATATGGAGATGGGGAGTAATATAAGGGAAGAAATCATGATTTTGGATTTAAACCAAGAGCCTTTAGACCAACTGCCTGATTCGGTGATCGGATTAGATAACATACTCGATGAGCTTGAAACTGCCCATGGACGCATTGAAGAACGTATCAGACAACTAGAAGCAGTCACTTCCAGGGCTAGGCAGCGTCAGAGGTGGCGACAAGCTCAAATTTCCCCTCAAATTGTGAATATCACTGCTGGTGTTGTTGCTTCTGATACACAAAACGAACACAGTCAGAATGAGGACGATGCTCCAGCTGCCCGAGAAACAGTGGAATCTGGCAAAACCAACAGAGGTGATAACATGCATTTGATAGCCAAGGCACTGGGGATGGATACAAATGTGAAAAAGGCAGAGCCTCATACTGGGAGCTTTTTTGATTGTAATATATGCTTGGATATGGCAAGAGATCCTATGTTGACATGTTGCGGTCATTTGTTTTGTTGGCCATGCTTCTATCAGTTGTCGTATGTGGATTCAAATGCAAAGGAATGCCCCGTGTGTAAAGGAGAAGTAACTGATTCAAGTCTGATTCCAATTTACGGGAATGGGGATGGTAAATGTTTTCACAAGTCAAACGAGTCTGTTTCAAAGGCCCCTCCTAGGCCCCCTGCACACAGGATTGAGGGTTTGAGGCAGCAGCTTATTAGGCGGGGCCCATCTTCTGCATTGATTGAAGAAAGGATTCAGCAACTTAGCAACATAGTTGGTTCAATGGGGGAGAGAAGACGGTCACGGGATAGTTTCCGTGCACAAGTCATGGCTGAAAGAACTAGTTTCGTGCCCAGCCAGGACCAGACATCACAGGCATCACCTGCCACTGAGACAAGAAACCAACACCAGCATGATTCCCTTCAAGTTTCAAGATTATTACTACAAGGGGCCGCTTCAGTATCTTCCCTTTCGTCAGCGTTGAATACTGCATTGGATTCAGCAGAAAGATTAGTCGAGGACCTCGAGGAATATAGTAATGGTCACCATGTTAGAAGAAACCGTCATCAGTCTTTACATATTGATAATGGAGATACATCTTCGAGCATCGCTGCAGCTATACAACCAGAAACGCAGACTTCTGATACTGCTGCTGAAATCAACTCTGATGCGCTCCCCTCTGCTTCCTTTATAAGAACTGATACCATTATTGTGGATCAGCCAACAGGTTCAGAAACAACTTTTGCATTGCTTCCCTCATCTTCTAGGAGAACTAATTCAAGAGGTTCTGATTCAAACAACGGATATACATCTGAACCTAGAAGGAGAAGGTTGAGATAAACAAAAAGCTGTTTCCTGGAGATATAGATCAATATAATTCAAGTTTCCTCATCATTATCCTGCAAACATTTTTGTTTGCAGAAGGTTTCCGAATTTAGTTCATATGGCTGTGTTTGGCAACCATGTATGAAGTTCTGACTGCTGTTAAAAGCATTTTGAATTCATTCAGTAAAAAGGTACTGCAATTTGATGTATGGCATCTGGGCTATCTATAAGAGCACCTTTTTGTCCTCTTTCCAAGAATTGAACTTTCCATGGAAGAATCTTTCGGTGTTGTTCTCTTTCAAGGATATATTGAGGATAGTTACTGGTGTTATGCCATGGCACAGGGTCCTTTTTGTATGCCAAAGAGCAGTCTATATTTGCAAGTCTTATAGGTGCTAATTCTTGATTCTGTATGCTTGTACATGCTTTATATCTTGGTAAATATATATGTACTACTACTAGCTTTTGAAACTGTCAGCTGCTAGTTCTTTAAACTGATACTTTCTTGGATTTTATTATGACAAGTCCAAAACTAATGGTCGGTTGTGGCATTATTTTGCTGACCAACTCTACTTTCGTTGAGTTTACTTGATCCTTCGATTAATTCTGCATTAAGTTATCAGGCACCATTATTCATATTGTATATTTTGGTTGGATGATAAGTGTTAAGATAAGGTCATATGAGTTCATACCATTTGCCACCCAATCCTCTAAGTTTGGAAGTAGAAATAAAGATAATACGATGGCATTTTTCAATGCTAAACATTGACTTCTTGAAATACCTTGGACATGCAAGTGGTAAGAAGAAGATTAGGATTGCCAATTTTTTCAAAATTTGTGAGGGATGTTGACATTTAGCTCTAAAGAGAAAGATTTCAGTTAGGGCTATACTTTGTAATAAGAACCTATTTCTAATGTCTTTTAAGATGGCAGAAATGTGACAAGGTAGCAAATCTTATCACTCAAAATGGAAAGAAAAAAAAAATTGGAAACAGCTGGTTGTCAGTCGCGTTCTTTTTGGTCTTCATAGGTTTTTAAGTTGAAAGTCTGTACATCAGTAGGCGTCTAATTTTTACCATTGTAGGTTTAATTTTCAAAATACATATGAAAACTACTCGGTCAATGTTTGGTGCATGAGCTTGGGCTGCCAAACTCTGAAAGTTCGATCACTTTTTTGTTAAGTATCCTATGGAAGAAAAGGTCAGTTTCCCATATTTAGATTCAAATGCTAATAGATCCTGAGTGGTTTTTAATCTTTGATGCGCTGTTATCTGGTTTGTAGATTTCTCACTCCGTTATTTTATGACCTTATCCTTGTTGATGCTGGAGTTAATTACTTTTGTTCGTTCCATATTTAGGGCATATATTGTCTATTTTGTTGTCTGACTCACCAGCTTCAGTTATGCATATTGGTGATATATAAGACGCCATAAATTACATTTATAGAACATCAAGTTTCTGTCTTTGTGCATGCCTGATACAGTGCATGAGTATTACATCGAGCAAATTGTTTTTTTCTGTGAACATGGTCAAGTATTTGTCCTTGGGTATGCTAGTGATCACCTCAACAAGTATCAGACATTCACCGCTAAAAACAGTCTATTTTTCTTGTTACCAAGGAAAAGTCATTACCGTATTCTAGAATGAGAAATAAATGTTTCTGGTTAGAAAATGATATCCTTCCACTTCCTTTCTCTAGTAGCAGTTCTTTCATAGATCACTGAAAGTAGTTATACAATGAAGAAGTTACTCATTGGAAGCATCAATATGATTATGTTAGGTTGAAAATGAAGAGGACCTAAGAGTGAGTCCCTATCAATAAATAATGTGAGATTTTATGAAGGTGCACCTTCTTTCATTGAATTTTTCTAGCTTTTTGCTTATCTCTTGGTCGTTCAGTGCTTCTTGTGGCATACTTCAGAGCCGTGTTGGTTTAGATGTTTGCCTCAATCGTGGCCATTGACTCGACCATAGTAAATCACCTCAGTTATATAGCTGAGTTATTGCCAGAAGGTTGTTTTGGGTTTCAGTTCAAAATTCAGATTGATTGACATTGTTTGAAGGGACGTGGAAATGGAAGACAAGAAGCAACCAGATTTTAAAGAGGTAGTCTTCATATTTAAGATAGTATCAGGTATCAGGTATGTTTCTCATTGACCAATGATATGGTAATTTGGAATCCGTTTTGGTTTTCGGATTCTCAGTTTAGTATATCTCAAGTTTCGTTTTGTTCTGATGTGTTTGATATCATTTAAATTGCAGCTAGCTATAATCGTAAGGGTTAAATTTGCCACTGAAGATTTGTAGGTTTCTGGAGTGGAATGATTTTATTCATTTATCGAAGACTAGTGAAAGATTGAAAATTTATAAAACAGTAAAATGTTTCTACTGACAGAAATCTGCCACGGTCAGGTGCTTAGTTTTAACATGCAAAGTACGTCAGTGTTTAAAACCATGGTTAATTTTTCTTTGGTAAATAGATTTTTTATTTTTTATTTTTGTAAACTTTATCTCTCTCTGAAGTCTCAACCCTGTCCCATGGATTCTTAAATGATATAGAATTGAACCCCTAACGGTTAGTATAATATAAGTATGCTCCATTAGACTCATCTGCTTACTAGCTTGCTCTGTTACTCAAAGAATTGATTATTGCATAATGCCGAAAAAGCTTTGAATGTTTCTGTTTCAGGGAGAGTGATTGCTGCTGTTGAAATTGAAAGCGCGAGTTGCAGCTGACTGAGATTAAGGTGCGATTGCATTGCATGTGATTTGTGGGGCTGTATTAGATTTTGCAAGTTGAATCAAGTTTATTCCTCTCAAAAGAGAAGCATACAAGGTTGGTAGACAAATGCATAAAAGGCACATATATAAGCTTAAATCTATCTGAGCCTAAACATATGTAGCAGATTTGTTTGGGTATTGGTTGAGGGAGGTGGCTTTCGACACACGTTCAACGCTTTCTCCTCCAGTTTTGGTACGTGATTATTATCTATATAACTTTCTCAAGCATTCGCTGCCTTAATTAATCTTATTTACCTTTGGAAAGCAAATTTAGGGGATTCTTTTTTGCTTTTGATTGGGATTTTGTAGTTGAATAAGGGACATATTCTGCACTCTCTTCGTGTTATGTCTGGTTGATTGATGCTCAGCCTTATCTCCTGCCTAGTTTAACTCATTTAAAGGATTAACAAACTAATATAATATGTACGTGAATGCATGCATGCATGATGCACCACACTAAGAAGTAGGAATCATATCTATTTTTCTTAATATTTATCCTCTCTCTTGCTTATGAACTAATAATCTTCGGTTACATTACTCGTGCTCAGTAAATAATGCTAAATTAATCCAGTTTGTTGACTGTAAAGGGGCGTCAATGAGTACTTAAATGTTATTGGACAGTCATCCACGCGCGTCTTTGAGTGTACACTGTTAAATAAATAGGAAATTTATGGAATCCGCAGTTATTAACCGATGACACTTACCCATCATCAGGCAGCATCAAAGGCATAAAACAATTGTCTTAGTGTGCCTGGCAATTCGGAAATTTTGGGGGCCTAGTGGGTAGTTGTAGGTCGTTCGGTCGGTCGGATTATGATGCATGCAATGATTCCGATGATTCCGATGGGGCTGACTGCCAGACAATATGACGAGGATTTTTTCACAAACCTTATCAATTGCCTCTGCTTTGCCCAAATGTCACCGTCCCCCGCCCCCACTCCCCTTGGGCTCCAATCCTTTTCCATTAATCATTCTTCCATCCTCTTCTTTTTCTTCTTCTTTAAGTATAAATCATGCATAAAAGTCCATAAATATGGAATCATTTTAGAGATATCTAAACCGACCAAATAAAACTATATTATTTATGTAATAGCAACACTCCAAGTTCTATCAATTCAATCTTGACAAGTGCCCCAAGTTCTGCAAAGCATTTCGACCTATGGATGTTATCTGGCTCCTTGATTGCAAATAATTGTATTAACATCTCACTAAACAATAAGTGTATGTTTGTTGCACTGAACTATTTCGTACTAAACTAACTTTAGGGATTAAGTTGGATTGGTTTGGCAGATAACAATAGCAAAACGTTTGGTGCAGTACCAAACTAAACGACAGGCTAAGCCATCTTTCTCCAAATGATCTCGGCAAATCACAACCCAGAGATCTCAAGAAATTCTCAATAAAAAACCAAAATGCCCAACAAACCACAACCCAAGATCACAAGAAATTCTATAATTTTTTTGTCAACCAAAAAATAAGAGAAATACAAAAGAAGGTATGAGAACTGGTTGATGATTAGCAATCCTCTACTTTCTGGGAGCTGGTCTCGTTAAGATCGGATAACTAAGAATTTAGTCAAGGCGAGTCCCTTGTAATTTCATTAAAATTAGTTGCTACGAATAATAATACGAGACTATACTATCATTAGTCCAGTCCATTGAATTCTAGTGGTATGGGAAGCAAACGACTCTAGAAAAGAAGGAAATAAAAAAAATAAAAAAAAAGGTCACCAATGTCAAGGTTTGGTAATTTGACACCTGCTAGAGGTCTTGGGTTCAAAATCTGTTGCTGGTGTGGAAGTCAGACTTGTAGCCAGAAAGAGGTTGAAATGTTTCTGTGAGTCTTCTCGACCCTCGAAAGAGGTAGATAACCACGACTTGCTACCAATTGACTTTTTCTTCTTCTTTTTTGGAGTCTGGTAATTTGTCAGGAAAACAAAATGTCGTCATGCATATAAGACACCTTCAATATGAACACGCTGGGAGATAATTGAGTTTCACTTTTTCTATTCTTTCGTTATTTTTCTTCCTTTTTCATCTATCGGGTACTTGTCATTGTTTCCAATAGACTTGCACGTTTCTTTGAGAACATCCGATAATACTGTAACGATGCCCTAGACGAGGCAGCAAATAAAAGTTTGAATTACAATAGTAAAGAAAAATGAAAGAGTCAAAATGTAATAGGTGGTGCTGTTTACATGCGTACCCTTATTTTTACTTTTTACGTACTTTTGGTTATTTTATGTCATTTAATTAATATTTTTTTTTAAATTCATTTTATTAGACAATAAAAAATTAAAAAGAACGTGAAGAATAAGAATAGTGCCCGGATGGCTTTACCCCAAACTAAAAAAACAGGAGAGTGAGGAGTTGAATGAGTGGATGAGAAGTTGATGAGATGTGATGATGGAGGCTGAGTGACTATCATGAGTCATGCATGCACGCCTTGTGAAAGTTGATTATGACCTTTGTTGGGTTTGACTGCCTTTCTCCATCTCAACTCTGAAAGTCGATCTCCAAGTCTCAACCCCACATATCATCATCATCATCATATTTAAATTCAATTGGGTTCGGATGGCCATCCTTTCATTATTTTCTCTCTCTCCTGATTAACTTAAAAACATTTCTGTTGTAATAATGTTGGAACCAAATTAATCAATGTTATTATTACAACGAAGTTATTACTTTATAAAGGTGTAAGTTATAAAAATTATTTTTCAACTTAGTTATTCTTAATAAAATTGTGCAGATATAAAGGCATCAGGAAAATAGACATAGCCTTAAGTAGCTATTAGTGGTTAGCAAGATACATAAAGAGTTATGTTCTTATTGATAATTATTATTATGTGGAGGCAAATTTTTTAGGACGAAATCTAAAAAATTATAATTTATAACAATATAGAAGTTACTACTATTTATAACTGGCTCGAGTTTAGGCCAAAAAATTTTCTTGACAAGATAAAAGTTGATGTAGATCATACGCCTAATAGACTAAAGATCAAGTCCAAAGGCGCAAATCGGGTGGTAAGAACAAAGCTTTGCAAATTTGGGCTTTGGTGTACGACTAGGGTTCATAATCTATTGTTTCGAAACTGCGATACACATCAAACTCACCGCTTGGTTCTAACAGAGGATTTTTCGGCCAAATTTCATTGTTTACAAAGTTTTATTAGGGTTTTAAGTTTCAATGACGTTTTCTTTATTTATTTATTTATTTTTAGTTTTTTAATCATATGGAAATCGTAGAGTTTTTGGCTTTAAAGATTATAAATTAGACGTTTAGGCATTGCAAGTAGTGGATTGTCATGGTTGTTAGGGTCTTCCTCATCAACCCAGTACGTTTCGGATTCCATCCTGTGGATGCAAATTTCCACCTTCTTCTTCTTGGAGGAAAATGTACCTGCAAAACAATTAACACCTAAGATCAAGGCCAAGAGCCTCACACACCTACGATGAATTGGGGGGGGGGGGCTTTGGCCGAAGAATCTCTGATGCCAAAGTTAGAATTTGAGAAAAAGTGTTTAGATAATTTTTGGGAGAGAATTGGACTTAGGTTTTTGGAGAAAATGAAAGGCTATATATAGGGGTGTGGCCGGTCCTATTTGGAGAAATAGGCACGGGCCACTTATGTTGGTATTTTGAATAGATATTATGTCAAATAATATCTTGCAATTAAGGGTAATTAATTAATTAATTGGGTAATTAATCCCAATTTGAAAAGAATAAATGAGAGTTACCTTGTGGGTGAGGATTTGATGAGGAGTGATGAGAAGGTTTTGAATAAATACCATTTTGATCACCTTTGATCTTGATTGAGCGGTTATTGTCCGTTACATGCGCATGGGAATCCCGGTGTGCCTTAAGGGTAATTTTGTCCTTTTGACCGAAAAGTATACGTGTCGTCTCCATAATTTTCTTGATTATTTTTGGCTCCACACACCCCTCCCCTCCCTTAATGTAGATTAGTGTAAAATATCGCTTGTAATTAAAAAAGATGGATGTTTAGACCTTATGTTTGTTATCTTATCAATTATCAATCAATAAAGTTTGATGTTTTATCATACAATGATGGATTCCATACCTGAAGACAAGGTTGCCTAGTTCACTGTGAAGATCAAGATCTTCTGCACCAAGTTCGGCCACTTCGACTATAAACGTGAGAATATAGGTGCGCTCAATCGATACCAGGTTGTAAGGGCACATGTGCTCCAAGGTGATGAGAGTTTTAATGGTGAACGTGGTTTGGCTATCTGAATACCGAACTGCAAAATGCACTTGAGAGTAACGAATCGTAGAACACTTCACTTTGCTGGGAAGTTAATGAAGTGATGTCTTTAGGCAAATGAACTCAGAATTCTTTGCCTGTTGAAACTTGGATATGTAATCAACCACCTTAGAAATAGTCTAACTGAATGTGCTTCTATGCTGCATGCTTCTACGGCGCCAGAGTTGTTTACTTGTCTAAACTAAAGGTGTTGCCGGTTGTCAACACATTGCTGTTTACTTATCCAAACTAAAAGTGTGTTGACGTGGGGAGGTGGGTAAGGGTAGCTAGTATTTTTCTTAAAGGTGTGAGAAGGGTTTCACATAGAGCGAGGGTTTCGCAGAGCGTTTTGAGTTGTTTGTTGAGTTGAAGGGGTTCTCTACATTACAAAACCTCTTGTATTTATAGGGATAAATTTCGTGATGGCCAAGTCTACCGAATAGTATAATTATGATATTGTTCAGCATATTCTTTAAATATACTCGGAATTATTCTCAGTCGAAACTCGATTGTCGCAAGATCTCGCCGCCTTCGACTAGGACTCTAAACTTAGATTGATTATGTACTTGATTCAACATTTGTCCGAAAATCAATTCATGATTCTTAATATTCCTCTTATCCAATAGCTTAGAGTACATGGTGCAAAGTCAGATCCAAACAATTGTACAATATTTTAAAGAAGAACATATTGTATAATTCAATTTGATAGTTACTAAAAGTAAAGTTATGAAGACAAAAGGAAAAAGGATTATATTACATGATATTTTAAAGTTGCATTAGTATTTGATAATTTTGGGAAATTTTTCTAGCTTCTTAAACTGGTTGGTTTTTTTAATTGTTGCATGTTTGCTTAGAGCTTTATGTTTCACCCTAGCCAATTTGAATAAGCCCAAATTGAGTTGTGTCCTCAATATAATTTTGTTACAAGAAAATGGAAGAGTAATAATAAATAGAGACTAATACAAATAGGGTAGTGCTATCCACACACATTTTTACACTCCACACACCTTTTGTTAATTTTTATCATTTGATCTTCTTTAATTTATTCGATCTGACAACCAGAAATTGAAAGAGTACATGAGAAGTAAAAATAGGTATCAAATAGCACCACCCATACAAATAATATGATCCTGAATCAACAATAAACGTATTTGGTTTTACTGGGGCAGCAGTGCAATATTTAGCAGCCTCGTAGGATTCTTGGACAAGGAAAAAGGCATATATAAATGGTTGATTGGAAAATCTAATGGACTAGACTTGGCCAATTAATAGTCAAATCCTTTTTATCTTTTTCTCTCTATCTTTCTCGTGCTTAACCAAATCCAATCACCCCTTTTCCTGATCTTCTGCTTTTAAGTGGTAAATGAAATGTTAATTTTCCAAATAACTAACCAAATGAAATGGTTCAAACTTTTAAGCTTGTCGCGTGTAGTGCGTACCCTGCAGAGGAGGAAAGTGTGTTAGCTAATTACTTGCTTGGAATTGGTATTTGGTAATAAGTCCAAATCTTCATTCTCCCTTCACATTATTCCTTCTCATCTCCACTAATTGCCGATCACACCAAAAAACCCTATCTTAAAATGAATCTTAATAATGTGTTTTTTTCCACTCAGGCTGGCAATTGAAATGTACGTGGATACATTTTTATTTTACGGTCGTCTTCTTACAATTTAAATAATTTCTGATTGTTATTGCCTATAGATTTTATATTTCATCAATAGCAAAAAATTCATTAAAAAAAAAAGACACCGATCGCATGATGCATGCATGCATCTCACTATCACATGTAATTTATCGTCGTCTCAAGTCCACATCATGTTTGGTAGGATGACACATGCATCTATGATTTTTATTTTATTTTATCAAAACACGAGCGAAGCAAACCACAGATTATTATTTTACGAGATAAATGAAATTAAAAAACATAATCATAAGATGAAAAAGTAGTTAACATGCATGAAAAGAAAAGGTATCTAATTAAATAATTAATCTTAAGGAATAGTTTGGATGTGGTCTCTAGTTCTTAACACCCTTTGACTAAGACATTAATGGTATTCAAAGTTTGATCAAAGTCCATTGACTTTGTACACCTCATTATATTACTATTAATATTTATATCTTTATAGTTTTGACATTAATTGTTTGATTTTTTATGAGATTTATAATCCTATAAATTTAAAATCCCTCATTACAATACTATTAGAAATGGCTACAATAAAAAAATTCAAACATTTTGATTGAATAAATGGATAAAATCTATGTAAAGAATGTATCCATAGTGTTAAAAAAAAAATTGGTACATTTTACAAAAAAATTTGGTACATTTAACATATAACAAAGTGGTACATTACTAAGGAAGAATGGGTACATTATAAATAAATTAGGGTACAAATAAAAGATAAAAAAATTATGAGTACAAATGAAATTTTAAAAAATTATGGGCGCAAAAAGAAATTAATACATGGGTACAAATTAAAACTAAAAAGAAAATACTATAAATTTTAAAAAGGGTTGCAAATTAAAAGTAGGTACAAACTAAAAATATAAATATATGATACAAAGTTTAGCCATAAAACATATATATACCATAATTAATTTTTCTATCATTGATTAATTATATAATGTCACATGACAGTAAACACATGGGCACAAATACAAATAAAACTTTAAAAAATATGGGCACAAAAATAAATTAATATATGGGTACAAATTAAAACAGAAAAAAAAAATTGATACAAATTAAAAAAAGGTTTGCAAATTAAAAATGGGTACAAACTGAAAATAAAAATATATCTATGATAAAAAATTTAGCCAGAAATATAAATATACTAATTGCAACATTTTTAACACTAAAGGAATATATTTAAAAATAAAAAAAATATTTTATAATTAAAATAATTAATGATGTTATTAATACTCAAGAACCTTGATAAAAATTTGAAAATGAATAAGACTTTAATCAATGGAGTAGCAAAATAAGAGATGAGAACCTAATTTCTCATTTCTAAATTGAATCAAACAAAAAACAAAAGGCAAGCTTTTAATTGAAGAAGAGTGAGCACATCGGATTGCTATCAGGTTATCGTGATCATGAATGTTTTCACCCTACTTACATCCGAAATCAAACATTTAGGACGAGTGCTCTGCAATATCATTATTTTGATAATCTTTCCAATCACTTTGCTTAAATTACGTGATGTGCATGAGGGACATCTTATGATTGCACATTTAGAAGCTTTAAAATGCAACTTTGTCTTTTGGAATGCGTTTTGATTTTGATAATCAATTGCATTACATGATCATTCAAAGATTTAGCATCATGAGCTCTATATAATTACGAGCAATATTCACAAACAAAAAACTTCTAATAAAAAATAGAATTATAAGACACCAAACAAACAATGCCATATAAAACCACAATTTAGTTTCCATTTGCTGATTTTTATACCCTCAAATCTTAGGTTGACCAAATTTAAGATAATGGTGCGAGTGATAGCGGTAGGGGTGATGTGATGGTGATGGTAAGGTAATGGTGTAAGAGTTTTGCTCTTAATGTGAGTGAGCTCAATCTATATTTAGTGTATATGTGTTTTTTTTTTTTTTTGGAGGCGAGTGTATATGTGTTTTGATATGTAAGTAATTGGACAGATATTAAATATACTTAATTCTCATTAAATATTACAGAGGAAAATTAAATGAACTTATTTTGAATTAAGAGGTGGTTAAAACCTCTTACAAAACTGGTTGTAACCAACTCGATGATAGGAGAGTGGTTACCAACACACATGCACGGCTTTGGCCTCTCTTTTCAGGTTAACGTGTCCAATATATGCTCGCCTATTGAGAGCACGAATTGTAAGGAATCGAGAGAAGAGAATATCGAAGCACGAACCTATTCATGATGAGTTCTTTTGTGGATACGAACTGATATTAATTAATTAGGGTTTACTTTTGATTAGAAGTTCTAACTATTAGAGCGTGGTTTAATGGCTTTATTGGTTTTGATAGTTGCTCACAGTGACGGTTTCAAGATTTTAAATTCGAAGAGTTTCAATAATAAAGGTCAAAAAATTAATAGACAAAAATAACATTGAAGTTTTATTCTCGGATCTCTTTCAAGAATATTCAAATCAATGTAACACTCATTTTTTCTTGAACTTAAATTATCCGAACAAATAGAGAGCTATTGGCTTTGGTGAAAAATCTTTCCATGTTTCTTATTTCTACATTACACAATTGATAAAAAACACAAAACATGTACCAATTAACCAATAAACAAAAATTCCATCTAAATTCCAATAATCACATGAGTATACAAACATAAAACATATCAATAATCATATCAAATCATTGACTATAAACCTCCATCAGTATCTAATATAATTTAATTGAGATTAGATTAGAATACCAAAAACTTGCATGAATTTTGAACCAAATGGTGATGGTGTGGAGCTTTGAAAATTAGGGAATTGGGGATTGGGTGAATTTGTGAAAATCAGGACAATGGGATGGGGGAAGGGATGGGGAAGAGTGGGACTTGGGGGACATGCTAGCTGGGAATTTAATTAAAACAAAATATACACTAACGACTACGATTTGTATATTGTTTTAATTAAAAAAAATTAAAATAGTTGGCCAAAAAGAGCGTTTTGGGCCAAGCCTTAATAAAGAAAACTTTTTCACGCGGCCGTCTTCTCCGAAGACACCGCTGCTCACCCACTACAACTTGCACACACAGGCCTTCCTTCTTGAGTGCGAGGGGTCCCTAGAAAATTTCAAACAACGATTCAGGGTTGCCAAGGGGTCCTGGGACCTCCCAAGTCCCTCTATGGGTCCGCCACTGGTTGCTCAATGATGTGTGTGTGTGTGTGTATCGATTTCAAATGGTGGCGACATGATGGTGGTGACATAGTTATACATACAAGGCGGTGAAGTATATTGTTAGAACTAAGAAAAATGAAATCTGTCAAAATCTTAAGAGACGAGACTAGATTTGCTATGACAATAATATAGTAAAAAAGCAATCACAGTCCATCGGAATCCGTGACTTCTAAAGACTATTTTAATTCAAAAATCAACTATTGATCCAGTTTATCTATTTTGCCTTGTTCGTTGAAAAGAACATGCTTGAGACACCACATTTTGTAGACCACTAAGCAAATAAATTAGGTCAAATACCACATCAAAAGTACACTCCAAAATAAAATGTACATATTTGCCTCAACAAATTTCCTAGTCCCTTGAAAATGTTATAAGGCACCAAGTCACCTGCTAAGCGACTGAGTGAAGAATGAGGATTGAGGTCGATCGAGGAAGATTGCAAAATCTTGAAATGAAGTCTCTTGTGTTTCTTCCTTCTTCCTTTCACGTGTGTTTGTCAACCAAACTGAGTACTAAGGTTTGTCGGTCAAACTGGTTCCCACAAACAACCTCAATTATTATTATACAATAAAGAAAAAATCATAAATTGATTAATAAATCACAAAAAGGTTGAAATTGAAGAAAAGAAAGAGTAGTGTTTGGTTGAGTCTGCGGTTGCATATAAAAACAGAATCTTTTTTCAAGAGACTAGAGCTTCAAATTTCTGGAAGATTATGGAGCTTTGTTTGAGCTTAGGAGGTCATGAGGAACCTGCAGAGCGATCAGATCAGAACACCACCACCACCACTAAAACGACAGAGTTTTGCATGAGCTTATCAATCGGTCCAAGCTGTGCTGCTGGTACTACTAGTACTCCTCATCGTCCTCCAAGACATGAAGCAGCTGCAGCAGATAAAAAACAAGATGATGATGATGGTGATCATATTCATGTAGATGATCGTGTACCACTTCAACTTGATCTTCTCCTTTGGCCTACTTCTCCTTGTAATCGGATTCAAAACGGTGAGATGGAGTTTATTAAATTCATTAATTACAATTTTAATTATTTATCTTTTTTTATTTAGGGTTTAATCAATTATGTTTCTGGGTATTAATTAATGGCATAAATAGCTGGTGTGCTGTCCATGAACGTGATCAACAGAGTTGAGGAAGTGGTGGCTGCTGCGTCGTCAACGCACACGAACAGTGGTTCGTCGTCGTTTCAGATCATGGATATCGGCAGTAATAATCACAGCAAGGGCAGTGCAGGTGATGATCTGAATAATAATTACCACAACGTCTACAACTACAAGAGGAGGGCTCACTCTGCAGAAGCAGGAGATGATGAGGGAGAAAGGGCATCTAATTCCAGGGTGGGCAGCGATGAGGAGGAGGACGACATTATCAATGGTAACACTAACACCTCTAGAAAGAAGCTCAGGCTCTCCAAGGAACAATCTGCTTTTCTTGAAGAAAGTTTCAAAGAACACCATACTCTCAATCCTGTAAGTGTAAAATTTTAATTATATATAATTAAGGACACAAAACACATGAAAATGTTCTCTTATTGGACTCTTTGTCTTTGTCTCGCACCATGAATGAGGACCATATATAAGCTAGGTATATTTTCGCTAGGAACATATTAATTACACATATATATATAGAGATCTAATTTATTTATGATATTAATTAATGGTGCAGAAGCAAAAGCTGGCACTGGCGAAACAGCTTAGTCTTCGTCCAAGACAAGTTGAAGTTTGGTTTCAGAATAAAAGAGCAAGGTATCTATACATCTAATCTAGCTATATCATCTGCATCTGTCTTTGTATATGAACGTAGAAATCGTATTACCAAAAAGGGAGTTCTTGTTGACACTTATTTTTGCAGTTCAGCTTTATGAAAACACAAACAAAATAAATTTATACAAGTGCACGATGACCTTTTTAGAGTGACTAAGAGTTTACCTAAAAGGGAGTTCTTGTTAACTCTTAGTAATAGCATAAGAGACTAAGAGTTTATCTTCTTTAATTTTGATCTTTTCGACAAAGACAATTAGTTTACGCAAAATATTGGGACTCGAATAATGGATGATGTGATGATGTGAATTAATTGAATGCAGGACAAAGTTGAAGCAAACGGAGGTTGACTGTGAGTTCCTGAAGAGATGTTGTGAGACACTGACGGAAGAGAACAGAAGGCTAAACAAAGAGCTACAAGAGTTGAGGGCTTTGAAGGCTACTCATCACTCAAACCCATTCTCCATGCAATCACCAGCCACCACCCTCACCATGTGTCCTTCCTGCGAGCGCACAGCCACCACCGCTAACCCCGCCAGCAAAACCACCAACAATACTAATAACAATAATAATAATAAAGTTGAGTCAACTAGTGCTACAAAAGTCCAAGCAGCTAAATTCCCTCCCAAAAGACCCAGCTTCTATCCATTTTTTCAACCCAAATCCCACCCCTCTTCCGCAGCTTCATGAATACTACCAAAGCTTCCTTCCAAATAGGATTACATTTATTTGGTGGGCATGTACATTACATATATACGTATAGAAAGAAAAAATAAGCATTAGGAAAGTAAACGGTTCATAGTTTTCTTTCTGGGGGTTTGTTCTGTTTCATTCAGGTTATGCCTTGATGGGATTTATAGAATTGGGTTTCTTTTTTTCCTTTATTTTCTCCCTCTTTTCCCCTTTCTGAAGCCCCAACAGTTTATTTGTTTTCCACTTTTCTATTGATAGAGAAATAGAATTAAGAAGGAAACATAGTTAAGAAATTCAAGAAATTACGAAAAAGTCGGGGTGTGTATTATATAATAAACAAGAGTTGTTGGATTTTGATTTGTCAAGCATGCATGCTTTGAAAGGTTATCTTTTGGGATTTGATGATTTCATTTCATGAAATTGAAAATTCTAGAGGGCGGTGTTGCATCAATTAACATCGTATATCATAGCATAGGCATGCATATTACAACTTGATGGAAATTGGAAACTAGTAGTAGCTGGGAGATGGAGATGGGAGTGTTCCCAGCCTAAAAAAGCAAAGCTGTCGTTGTGGGGAGAAGGGACAAGAATCAGAAGACAATATGACTTAGGGTTTAGGGTTTAAATTTTAATATAATCATATCATATCGTACTCTAATTCATCCTTGGCTTTTGAATGAAGCAAAATAGAAATGGATCGTGCAGCATGCATGCTGATGCAGGGTGATCATTGGAGACCAGAAAACAAGTGTGAATCAGTGATTGGATAGAAATATTGGTTTATGAATGCATGCATGCGTTGGCTCTCCTTGTCCAATGCACATCACACATGCAGGTGACATGCATGAAACAACAATACCATGTGAGATTCCGATTGGAAGTATGCATAATCATGCAAGTTTAAAGGATAAAAATATGAGACCGACCATGGACCCATCTCCGACGTCCTTATTGGCAAATAACGGGAATTAATCACCTATTCTTTTCAGTCTTCACTAATTTATTTCACAAAGCTTATAAGAAATGTACGCGCGTAAAACAAAACAGAAGTTTATTCTATGTTTTGTGATTGGAAAATTAGTGATTAAGATACCTACCACAACCTTTTTGACATTTCAAAAGATATGGATAAGAACAACATCCTACTATTTTATTTTATATGTGGTGTAGGAAATTCTTAATCCTACACCTTTCCAAGTTTCAACCAATTTAAAGACCAGTTTCTAATTTTAGTTTCTTCGGATTCCTCTCCCCATTTTTTCCTTATTTAAACTCTTAATAGACAAATGATAATCACGTATCATCTTTATCTTTCCCACATCTCTCTATTATGACAAGACCAAACAAAAACAACAGATAAGATTAAACAATGATGTGTAAGAAGAAAAAAATGAAGACACGGTTATCATTTCCTTTCATAATTCCTTTATAAGATCCTTTAGGTCTCATGAGGAGATATCCAATAATTCTATTTTTAAGGAAGATTAGAAAAATAACCTAAATTTGAACCATGTATGAAATATGAATATTGAAAAAGTTAACCAAAAGGTGATGTGACAATATTACACTACTAGGGGAATAACATTTTGATGTGAAAATAACAATTTAATAGTTGGACACGAGAATAGCATTTTGACTCTCAGAAGCTACATTGCGGTAGTCAGAGTATTATTCCCTTGTCCAAATATCTAGTTTATTATTCGAGGGCAAAAGCATATCGATGCGTGGTTTTATTTTATACATGGCATCGTCCATAGAAAAGATTGGTGTACAAAATATAATCCAGTTGATATGTTAACTAAAGCAGTTTGACCTGTTAAGTTTGAGCCTCTTTTGAACATAGCTCAAATACTTTGTGCTTGAATATGTGTAAAGGTGAATCCCGTGGAGATTATTGACAATTGTTTGCGGTTTGTTCGTAGAAGACTGAAAGCCACATATTTAGGCATAAACGATGGCTTCCGAAAGTTGCTTTTTGTATGTAAATTTTGTAATAAAACTTGGTTATTTCTCTTTCTACTTTTTGTGACCTCGATCCGGATTGATAACAGAATAGCTTTTCAATTTTTAGTCATTAAAGGCAGGGTAATATTTTCACACCAACTTTGGGTTTAGAATTTTGAGAGCTTAAAAATGTTAGCTTATATTCGAGAGGGGCCAACTTTTGGCTACTTTTCCAAATTTTCTTTCAAAATATGGAACGAGGCCTTGAAAAAATATGACGACTTCGCCTGCTTGCAGCTGCATGTCTAAAAGCTCATCTGTTAAAGAAAATAAACGAAAAATGACCAGAGAAAGAATATTACAATACAACTCAAACCTTTTGGTGTCGTAACAACTCACAACGCTCAACTTACACTCAAACGCATGGAAAAACAAAAAATTGTAGCTCACTCAGTTCCCACAATTTTTTCCTATCATCTACCACGCCCACGTAACATACCACCAATGATGTTGACTGTTACAGCAAAGTACAATTTGTACAGCGAACTTGCTTGAATACCGTACACATTTTTCATCATTCCAGAAAAAAAACTGATTTGGTATGAAAGTCCATTGTGCTCAATGTTAATTAGGTCCGATAGAGCAACATATGGGTCAGTTTGCTGAAGCTAGATCATTTCTGAACTGTTCTACCAAGGGAGGAAGGAGAAGCGCAAGCCTAGACTTGTACCTTGCAATTCGCTGTAAGCGTTCTTCTCTTAATCTACAAAATAAACACCAAATAGCTAGTCAACCTCTGCAGTATGCTTTATCTGCAGAAAGCGTAATACCAAAGCTTTTTGGAAAACAAAACATCCCATTATAGTGTATGACTTATCTTTACCTAGAGAGCGATAACGCTGTTAGAAAATATATAGTTTTATCAGTATAAGATATAAGGTTGTTAGCCCCTTGTTTTTGTTTTTTGTTACAACGGAGGGAATCGAACTCTTGACCTGGCCTAATCCTAATCCTAATCCATTTTCCCACCCTCCCACACCACTTGAGCTAACCCTAAGGACATTGGGTTAATGGTGAATTGGTACCTTCTTTCATGAATCGTTGATTAAGGCAGCATGCGTTATCAATATAGTATAATTAATACTCAGAAACTTAACAAACCAAATTGGGTGCATGTGGGATATAGAGTGAGAACTTGCAGGCACATGCTAAAACCTAAAATGTCTTTCTTCTATTTCTTTTATTTTTCATTTTTTTAGGGCAATTTAATATCTCAAATTAAGAGGTCCATTTTTCCTCCAGCTTTGGACTTCAAAAGGCAAACCTAGACGCCCATTGATTCAGTTTAGTGGCAACCGAAATCCACTTCTCTTTCAAGGTATTTTTCACAATCAAAGCTTCAACAGAAAAATAAAATGGATGAGATAAATCAACCGCAAATATACCCCTAACTTAATCTTGCAAATGGTAATTATAATTCATATATGATATTCAATTAAACCCATTAACTTCAACTAAGGTGGAAATTTAAGGTTTGTAAATCAGCTTTCAAGGCTTAAAATGATTATCTGTGACAAAGGAAAGTCGACTCACTGTGTGTAAGGACCAGATTGTGAAAAACTTACCGTGCTCGAACCTTTCTGGCGCGTTTGACATGTCTTTTTAACAGATCATGTGTTGATAAACGCTCAATGTGTTCCTCAGCCTGGAAGCGAGAACAATGAAACTAAGTACATTTTTAATAAGCACTATACATCTAATCGTTAGATATAGGAATGGACAGGTTCGAAAACATAGAAGCCTCACTTTTTAATTTATGTGCCCTCTAAACTTAAAACTTACTTGTTTAAAGGTAAAATCTACAGTGCAGATTCTTCTTTTTTTTTTTTTTTTTTTTTTCTGAAAAACCAAAATGAAAACCTAAAGACTGGCTAGAGGTTGGGGGCAAGTGAAGAACCTATGATACTCCAATTTGACAAACAAACTCTTGAAGTCATATATCTCAACTTTTTGTTTCCATTTATAACAATTCAAAATAATGATTACTGCTGCCAAATATAGTGGTTATCATAAAAACCCAACCTCGTCCTTGTTATCATCTCCTTTTCTTCTGCTTCACCCCCTTCCTTCTTTGGAAGAGTAGCACTTGCCATAGGTATTGGTGAAGGTTTAGGAAGAGACCTTACAGCATCACCATATTGTGGCTGCCAGCAGAGTAAAAAATTTCCAAGATCATCAGGGTAAAATCATTATAAATGAAATAGGTAACAACAGTACTGCATCAAAAATCAAATTAGTATATTCCCACATTAATGTGCAGTTTGAACTGCTAAGGAAAACAATACATCTGTGCAGTATACTGATGACTCCTTTTGTTTGGCCAAAAAAACCTAGAAAATTCAGGTACGCATATGGGCTTTCAGTTTCCTATCTTGTTTGGTCTAATTATAAACAATAGTGATGTCAACAAGTTGTACCTAAATTTTTCCCCGGGGCACAATAGCTGGCGACATTATAGTCCATAATCTTTTTCTATTGTAAGAGGACCATTTTCATGGTACGTGATGTGAGACTACTAATATTATAGTAGGATTTATCCTAATGAATGTGTTAAGACGTTAATTGTCTAGATGAACTAGCTGGTAAAGGTAGTAACAAGATGTCGTATCATATATCCACTGTTTCATATGACCAGATAATTCACTCGGGAGGCATTAGCACAGAGTTAGACTGGACGCATTCCAACCCAATATTTCAGGGGATGGGTGTCAGCACTCTTGAATTATTAACAAATGTTACATGAAGGCACATGTGGATCTAGGCTTTTCAAACAACAACTTGAGTACAAATTAGGCTTGCAAAAAGATCGAGTACTAGATTCTTATAGGATAAAAGCAAAGTATCAAACACTACACAAAACAAGATCTCAACCTATGATATGACGCCAACCTGAATTTCTTCAGGAAAACCGTTCCTCAACCATGACCGACAGTGCACGTATAGAGAAGCTCCATCTGTCACCCTGACCTGCATAAAAATAATTCCAAATAATTGACGCCAAAAAAATAGTATGTGAACTAAAGACAACTTATAATTTGCATACTGGTTATCCTACATACATCCAGAAGGTTTTTATGAAGGATCGATTCATTCATCTCAGAAAAGATAAAATCCAGGTTGTACTTGCGGTTTTTTTTTTTTTTTTTTTTTAATTTCTCTACTGTTTCTGCTGCCATTAGTATTGGATTAACTGCAGCATCAGTACTATATGTATTTGAAAATTTAGCTATATGGTTGATGGCGATGGGTTGGACTACATTGTAGGGTGTCCATGGGAGGAAGTAAATATCAAAATGATGGGTTGCAGTTTCTAACTAAATTGTGTCCTTCAACAGACATCCATCTGAGTCAACTGTGCCCAACAACAGGAGCAGATTATTACATTTTCACAAATGGAACATTCATGTGTCTAAAAGGTTATCCTTTGTCTAGGCATAAAGTATGTAGAGATGTGATGCATGCAGAGGCACACATGATATGGGTTTGTAGAATGGCACTCTCAACCCTTAGATGAATCTTAAATAGATGCCTGCACATTATTGTGCTCATTCTACACTGCCATTCTATTTTGTAGATATGAATATCAAGAAATACTCTAGGTATGCTACCATCAGAAAGGATGATTAAACAACTTCCCTGACGTGAAGGAAAGGGAGGAAGGAATTTAACTGATGAAAGAAAGAAAGAAAATATATCAGACAGATCCACTCCATCAATCATTCATATAAACTTAAACGAAAGAGAAACATCGAATGACATTTTTCCCTCAAAGCAAACAAAATATCCACACAATCACTAAATACCGTAAGGTTAATCATCAACTCATTCCAATCCCTCCTATAAACGAGGGAAAATTATCTTCACAACACCTAAGGTCATCTCTCATTACAAATAATTCATGATATGTGTTTTATATGGGTGATGTACGTAACACACCGAGCACAGCTGCTGATTCACAACCACAATGCCCTTTACCTAAAAAACTGAGAAGAAAAACTGAAAGACATAGAAACAAAGAAATCATAATAATAGAGGGCTGAATAACAAAGTAAATGACAGTACAGACTGTTTCTGACATTCTATCATATTCAATTCCACCATAAACCTGAAGAACAAAGCCTTCAACCAACTACTAAAAAAATATTGAAAAGCATGTATTCAATATAGAATGAGGTAGCCATTTCTGCCACTAATTATGTTCCATTTTTAGCCATCCGCTTCTCTTACTAGAGTGAACCTATCAAATGATCAAGGGACCTAAAATAGAAGTGAAATTAAGTGCTGTAAATGGATGTTATAAACCATGCAACATATCCAAATAAATTAGACAATGATTTAAGTACACGACCCCCACACCAAGGGATCTTTGACATCGACTAGAGCAAATTAATGGATATAACGAAAGTCTTAATAGCAAGATATTATAATGCATCTATAGATGCAGAGCCAATCAGAAAGCAAAGTGTTTTCTTACTTTTCGACCTCTAATGACAGCTAAGTTATCATCTTGTTTTTATCCCTGCAGAAAGCACATCAAGAACAAGTTACATCAGTCCACAACTTGAAAAAACAAAATAGTCTTATTGCAAAAAATATTAAAAGAAACAAATGTCGAGGCATTATATCCAACATTACCTCATGTCTTTAAAACCATTGCTGTCAGGAACTGAAGATGGAGCAACCTAAACCAGGAAGAAGACATACTGAATAAATCTCCAAATCTTGCATTCAGACTCAACAGGCAAAACCTTTTATGCAAACAAAATAACAATAAAGCCACAGAAAACAATAATAAGAGTTGCAAAAAATAAAATAAAAAAACCTGTATTCAGTTTGGCATAGAATTTTCAATGGCCAAAAAGTTACTACGTTTCGATTGGCATAATATTCATGTCAAAACTAACTCCATTATCTAGTTTACCCATTCTGACTGGCCAGTTTGCTCAAAACTCATATTGCCTACCAAATACTAGAGATATTAACTGCATTAATTTCTCTTGTCATCGACAATATTGTACCTAGTATTATTCAGAAGAGAATGAAACATAAGCAAGATGAATGCCTAACTTGACCTGTTCAAGATGTAGAACATTCTTTTAAGACAAGACTCATATAAGCCTGCTCGCTGAGAAGTTTTTTTATTGACCATGGGCAAGCATTTGCAAAAGCAAAAATAAAGTCTACGTTACCACCAACACTTCTTTATTCTGATTACAACAATCCATGTACAATACATACTTCAAAGTGCTAAAAATCAAAGCTTCTGATAAAGCATATTTTCCCTTATGGACTGAAATATACATAGGTAGAAAAAGAAGAACTTCGTACCCATCTTTTTGCTTATTCTAAATAACCTTTCTTATTTTCCCTAATAAATTCACCCCAATACAAGTTTTCAAGATGTTACCCAAAGAAAAAATAAGGCTTCTTTGAGTCAAAGAATACTACCAAACAGCAAAACTTTACTGTGTGTTTGTGTGTAGTTCGCCCTACGAATAAATACCTATGTCAAAAATGTAGAATCAAAAGCACACCATTGAAAGATCAATTAAACCAACGAAAACTAGGAGAAAAGTCGAGACCTCAGGAGCAGCAGAAATAAGGGGAAGGCCCCTAATAGGAGGAGGAAGAGGAGAAGGTGCTAGGCTGTAGTTGGGTCTCATCAAATGCACAGAAATAGGCTGCTGCGAAGGGAAATTCAGAAGGGGCCGAGATGGGTACGAAGCTCCTGCGTTGGCCACAGTAACTGGGGGTTCACCTCCGGCAGCGGCGGCGGGGCGAATGGGCCGGGGAATGAAGCCTCGGCCTGAGGAAGCCAGTGGGTACAGAACCCCCTGATGATTAGCAGCTGCTGATGCTAATGGTGAAGATGATGGCGATTGGGTCCGAATTTGGAGGGATTGGGCTGCGTAAAGATTAGGAGGAAGAGGAGATGATACGGCGGGTCTTACGGGCCTCGTCGTGGGTGTGTTGGGGGCGGCAGCTCCGGACGTGGCCGTGACGGCGGCGGCTGAAGCGGTGGTGTGGTTGGGATCTATGGCCATGGTGGTGTCTGCGGGCAGTGGCGGGGAAATTTGCGAATTTTGGTACGCTTTGGTTTTTAATTTTTGAATGTTAAAGAAAGATCCCCACTGCTTTATACATACAATTTGTATATAATAACTCTTTAGTTATAAATAAGTAAAAAAGTTAGAGAAATAACATTTACTTGACATGAACAAAGTATGTATAAAATATCACATTGTAACTATAACATAAGGAAATGACAAATAAGAGAGGGAGGGATAGCTACTGATGTTATTGATCTTTTCTTCTTCTCAGTATGTTTTGATAGCAATAGAGTAACTCTAAACAAACGTATTAATTACATATTGAGATTTACAGCACACACTTTTTGAAAATACAATCCTCATTCATTTCCTAAGTCCACATCATTGTGTGAGCATTCATTAATCCATCAATGTTTTCAACATCTTCACACTTCTCAAACCTCCTTTTATCTAATCTTTAAGTAAATACAAATTTCCTATCAAGCAATACTCATTGTCAGGTGAAGAGGGTGTGAAATTTTTTTATGTAATTTGTAGGAAGGAGGGTGTGAACCATCAAATTCATGTAAAAACCTTCACTTGTGTTCTTTGTATCATATTTAAGACCATATCTTTTATTTTTACAAGCAATATTGATGAACATTTTCTAGTTTTGATGCCTTTGTTGGCTTGGCTATAACAAATATTTTTTTATTGAAGTAGGGTTTAGGGTTTAACGATGCCAAGTTCAAGTTTAAAATCTTGCTCCTTTCTCCCATATTACTGCATGTATCAAATACAAAATAGTTTGTTTTAAATCTAGAACTCGAGAGCATTGGCCCACACAGTTAAACCATAGGCTGGGTATGAGTTTGAAAGCCCAAGTCAGTCGACTCCCAAACTGGCAACTTTCAAGTCCACACGCACCCCACTCACTACCAAAATATATAAAATAAAAAAAGAGAGAGATCAAAGTTTCGAGTCTTGGTCGTCTTCGTCGTCAGACTCCAACTTTGTCCATCAGCAGCTCTCGCCGTCTCTGAGTCTCTGTGTGTGTGTTTGTGTGAAATCATGATCTTTGTTGATGGGCTTCCCTTTTCTACAGACTCTTCTGCATCGCCTAAGGTACTCCCTCCTCTCTCCTCTCTCTCTCTCTCTCTCTCTCTCTCTCTATAGATAGATATATAGGTATATATGTGTTTGGTTGATGAGAAAAAATGTGGTGGGAAAGAGTAAAGTAGAAACAATAAAGTTGCCCAACTGTTTGCCTTACTTGAGGCAATACTAACGGAAATTTTTAAATTTCTAAAAAGTAGATATTCCAAATTTGTGTCCAGCATTTCATCTGCGATTGTTGTCAAGAGCTTTTCTTTGTAGAAACAAAACAAATTATAAAGCTAATTCTTTGATGCTTACGGTATGGGTTGTAGTTACTACCTTACCTAGCTGATGCGGTTCTAGTTACCACCTTACCCAGCTGATGCGGTTTGCAGTTACCACCTCACCTCATTGTCTTCAATCATGGTTGTTAATCAATCATAGCCGTTGTAAGTTATGGGTTTTTATGTATGGGGATTGGGGAGTTGTTGACTCTCCTGCTTTCCTTCATGTATATGTACATGTATCTTTGTAATTGTAAATCACAAAATCAATATACAATCTTTTTATCAAATTCCACAATGCTCTAAGTTTCTGATGCAATTACTTATGAAACAAATTTTAAAATTAAAACTTCTATTTTGTTTGTTGCAACACCTTAATCTGCAAGATGAGTACTAATGAAGTTTATGTTTATTAGATTTACCTACATTATTTGTACATATAATAATAAAGTATACCAAAACTTCAAATAACTACATTTTTTGAGAAACAGAATCTGGAATTGTCTTCTGACGGATAATTTGCTCGCTCAAATTCCTCTACTTTACATTTTCCATAAAATATTTCTGCACTCCTTGCAACACATTTATGATAGAACTTAAAGCTTGTGCTCGTGAACAGGGACGGGATACTCTGGTTGCTCTACTGGAACACCCTGCTTTGGTAGAAGCCTCAAATTCGTTCAAAGCTATCCCGGAGAGGAGATTCTCTGTATGTGAAGAGTCAGTTCTGGACACATCGCCGCGTAGTAAATGGGTTTATTTGTTCCAGAGAGAATATGCAACTGTTGATCCAGCATTGGTGGATGTATGTTTCTTTCTCTATTCCTTGAGGCAAACACTCGTCAACATGTGGCATGAACTTTTTCTTTCATATATACAGCGGAGAGACATCAGTTTAACCTTTCTTTACTTAGTTCACTTATTAGTATATGATGCCAGTACAACCATTGAACCATTCTTCCAGTGTTAACATGCTATCTTTCAAAGGCCTATTGAACTCAAAGAAAAGGGTTAGCATCTTGTCCATATTAACTTTGTAGTAACTACTGTTAGTGAAACCATGGTGGCCAAGAACCTTATGCATGTTGAAGGCCTTCATTTGAGGAAAGTGGCATTTGATAGTCCTGCACGCTGAAAGCTGTCCTGGTACTCTTTTCAGCTTTAATATAGGCATCCTTGTGTTGCAATGTGCAACATAACATAGAGACTGCATGGTGAACTAAAATAAAAAGTACATAGGTTGATGGCTACGAGTATAGGCTTCCTTATTATCTTGTGCAAAATGGAAGTCATCTCATGATTTATTCATGGCCATCCTGATGGTTCTTAAAGTTATCATATTTTCTGCCTTAAAGAGATGGATGTAAGTTAGTGTCATTGTATTGTTGATGGTTTTGGTTGATGGTTTTTCTGAAATGGTTGCTAGCTATTAACTGATCACTTTCATGGTAATTGTAGTTTTAGTATCAAGAGTACTACTAATTATTCCTTTGCTAACTTCAATTTTTTCTTCTTGGTCTTCCTCGTTAAAAGTTTGTTGGAACTGATGAAGCAACAACCTGTATCGGTGTGGCCATCCGGAATCCTAGAAATGGAATGTAAGAAACGGATTATTGGGGATATAATTGTTTAAATCATACCAGTTTTCAAATAGTAATTTCATATTTGGTTCTACTTTTTTAACAAGAAATGCCATAGATGCCAAAACAAACACCAAAATTTGGACTCCAATTGAAGTGGTAAATATGACCAGTTCTAGATCTCTTATCATCGTAACAAGTAAGACATTTTCATGTCATCTACCATTCCATTTGGCGATTAAAGTTAGGAAACTTTTGGTGCTCTAGTACTGTTGTTTCTCATTGTGTTTTCAAACTGTAGGACCTCAGTTGCTCATATGGATTCTCCAAACATTGTGGACACGGGTTTATCCCAAATGCTGTCACTCCTTGTTGACCATAACACGGATATGGAGTTAGATGTACTATTCCTAACTGAAATGATTTTGTGACTTAAATGGTTATATGCTTTTTATTGACTCATAGAATCTAGCATAAATAAAGGAATATTTCATGTTCACAAAATGCAGGTGCATCTAGTTGGTGGATTTGAAGATGTTTCAACTAATGTTTGCTCCAGGATCCTCTACTTTGTTATTGATTTTCCAGAGGTGTAGTTATCTACTCAGAAACAGGATACTTCAAGCTGAAAAATATTTAACTTTGTGTGCAGCATGGTAACTACAAGCACTGGATCAGAAAGTCAGGAAAACTTGGATGGTTATTCCTTCCCTTTAGGTGTCAAAATTGTTGAAACTTTAAGGAAGAGACCGGAGAAATTCCATATACGTACTCTATGCATTCTTGGGCATAACACTAGAAGGGATCCCGAGGGAAACGCGTACCCAAGCTTCAACGGTTTCATGGTTAGCTTCAACTCCATGAATTAAATATCAATTTGTTGTATGGCTAATGTTCATTTAAGTCAGGTTTAAAATGAGATAAACCATCACATTTTTTGTGTGCTCACCTGTGAAGTTTATAATGTTGTGTAATGTGTGTGAGTGAAACTTCTGTTAAATCCTTCATATTGTAGATATTTTTCACTATTTCAGATAGGAACTTCCACCGGATCTATTACCCCAGCTATCTTTGACAAAACCTCAAGATGCCCTGATGAAGTTGTCAGGAGAATTCGAGTTTCTGTATCATACGAGGACTCTAGTTGGAAAGAAAGTTACTAGAAACATATGATACCCAAACTGATCATTTCAAGATAGCTCCATGTTGCTGGTAAGAGTTACTTCATCGATTATGCCTTCAACTTTTAATTACTTTGCAACATATCTCTGCTTCTCTTAAAGTTGTGTTCAACCATGCCAGCAACATTGACCTCACATATCGTTTCTATTCATGCAGGACACTGCAGCAGTTACATTTTGCTTTGTCATTACAACACTACTCTGATTCAGAAATCCTTCTCATGTGTTCTACTTCACCTTCTGCTGAGAACCCAGATTTTGTGGAGAATATGAGAAGGTATGCACAATCGAAAGTAGACCCATCTTAAAGTTCTTAGTGATCACACACACGCAGAAAAAGAATTTGAATATAAAGAAAGAAAAGAGGATATTTCCGCATGATAAAAGAAGAAAGAATAAAAGATTGACAGGAACTGCACAGCAAGTTGATCACAAGTAGATGCATTGAAGTTTTTCTTGTTTCTGGCTCGTGTAATCATAATCTATCAGTCAAGACTTGTCTATGTTGCAATTCCTAGAAATAGGATGATGTTCATCCCATAGAATAATGTTAATTTCGGGATATTGCTTTAACTAAATTTGGTAATCTTGATTCAGGCAATGGGACTACCTAATTAAACACCCAGATTGGAGAGAAACCTTTCCCATGAAGCAGCCACGCATATTTGAGAGGACTGCTGAAGGTGGCTGGAGAAAGCCACAAGGTGCTGATACATTAATGAATAGGAGGTTCTAGTTATTTTGCAATCTTACCCATGTCTCTAAATTTAGATGATCATGCAACAAATTTGAACTATCATGTTCTCGGCCTTTAAAAGAAGGATGTAAGTTGGTAACTCATCGCAATCTTAGCTGTTTTTGTCAGCAATTGCTTGTTGTTAACTGAGTACTTATGTGGCAATTGAAGCGTCTGTTTGATAGCTATTTAGTTTTTAGTTTTTAATTTTACTTTTTGCACTTGAGATATGAGGAAAAGTAAGAAAGGTGGTGGAAGGAAGGGGAAGAAATAAAGAAGAGTGAATGAAAACAAAATATTGGAAGTGAAAACAACTTAAATAGTTACCATTTGATGACAATTTTGTTCAGTGTTAATTTTTTCAGATTTTTGCTTGAGATATAGGAAGTATATATATGAGAAAAGTGATGGATGAAGAACGGTGATGGGAGGGAGAGGAAGAAACAGAGAAGAATGAATTAAAACAAAATCTTGTGTTCCATGAAATGCTTTGTGTCGGTTGTCCCAGGAAATGCTTGTTGGGACTGAAGAAGCAACAACCTTAGGAATGTTGGTGTTGCCATATGGAAAATGGAATGTGAGACATGCTTTTATTGGGGACTTACATTAACATCTTTAAAATGTTTTTAAAGGGTTATTTCGTGTTTGGTTCTTCCTTTCTCATTGAGGCATGCGCAACAAACTAAAATACTATTGAAAATACATGCGTATGGGTGTATAGTACACGTATACGCATGCGTATAATCGGCAAATTTATTAACAAAAGTACAAAAAACTATAACGAGGCAATGGAGAGGCCAAAGCAAAGAAAAGGAGAGGCGGCAATAGAGACCTTTGAAAGCCCTAAAAAGCCACTTACTTGGACTCCTCGTGCTTTCAAAAGCCACCAGCCGAATTCCAAATCCAAGTCCAACACAAACACTCGCTCAATACTTACAGATAACGAGAAGAACTCAAACTCGCAGCAAAACAAAAACACCTGCTCTCTTTCTCTCTTTACTGGTTGGAGTTTTGTCTCTCTGAAATTCTGAATCCTTGTCATTTCTTCTCTTCTTATGGCTCTTGTGAGTCGGATTCAGTCTCTCTCTGCCTTCTCTTCTTCCTCCACCCATTTCAGAAAACCCCACTCCTCCTCCTCCTTCAACCCCATTTCTTCATTACGCTTCAACTCCACTTCCTCCAATTCCTCCTCCTCACCTTTTACAGAGAAGGCTTCTATCGAGAGATACCAGCGAGACCACTGGCTCTACAAAAACCAACATTCAGAATCCGACCAACCCTTACCCACTCCCTGCTGCTCTCTCCCGCCCGATTTTGATTCCTTGAGGGAAAACGACATCGCTTTGCAGCTACCCGAGCTCAGGAACCTGCTTCAGGTGCTCAGAGAAAAGAGGCAGACTCAAGGTGATCGAGGCGGCTGCGGGCCCGGGAATGTCTTCTTGGTGGGGACGGGGCCTGGGGACCCCGAGCTCCTGACAATGAAGGCTTACAGAGTTATTCAGACTGCTGATTTGTTGCTCTATGATAGGTTGGTGTCCAATGATGTCTTAGATTTGGTTGGCTCTGGTGCTAGACTTCTCTATGTGGGCAAGACTGCTGGGTACCATAGCAGAACCCAGGTAATCAAGCACTCATCTTTCTTAATTTCCATTTCCGAAACCAAAATCCCTTTTTTTTTTTTTGAGTATATATTGGGTTTCGAATATATGGGTTCTGTGTCACAATAAATTTGAAAGCTTTGTGCAATTCGGTGAATTGGGTATTTGCGTTTGTGTTTGTTTGCATCTGGGTTTGTGGGATTTCAGGAAATGAACTGAATTTGTTTTCCCCTCTTTCAGGAGGAGATACATGAATTGTTACTGAGTTTTGCCGAAGCTGGAGCTAATGTTGTGAGGCTAAAAGGAGGGGATCCGCTGGTGAGTTTTTATAATGGTCTTTCATAAAATTGTGTCTGTTTTTGCCTGTGATATCATGTTCCGTCTTGTAAAACATATCGATTTTCTTTAGGTGTTTGGAAGGGGTGGAGAGGAGATGGATTTTCTGCGGCAACAAGGAATTGAAGTTAACGTTATTCCAGGTACAATCACAAATCAATGTAGTAGCGCTGTTATTTAGTTGACATTTTTATAAGAATGGTGGAATGTCTCATGGACATGTCTACATTGTTTCCCCATTGCTTTTTGAAGAGAGAATGTTCAACATTGCCATCTCAAGATTCTCAACACATTGATAAAGTTTCAGTAATCTAATTTCAGAGAATTTAAGATGGTCCGCAGTCACAAAGATCTGCTAAAGCTGAACATTATTAGCTATGCTATCCCTGTAGAAATGTTCTATTTTAGCAGTTAGTTCCTTAAAATTATGACACTTCATTGGCATTTAAAATTTTTCCTCGTTGGAAATCATAGGTGAGAAGTCTTCCGTATGCAAAAGGGTGACTGAAAATTGAGATTAGTACACTTTGCTTCTTAATTCCTGAAGAATTTTCGAACACATAGGCCATTAAGTATAAAGTTTCGGCTGGGAGCTCTTGTAACTTGTAAGATGGAATGAATGGTTAAGAGGAAAGTAAAATGCCAAGTTAACACATTGAAAGATGGGGGGAATTTTAGGTGAGTCTTCATCCATATGAATATGTTATATATTAGGAGTCTAGGAACAACTTTTTTCCTATCTAGGTTGTGGCCTAAAGAACTTATAGTTTGTGTCTGTTGGAAACAAATTTTCTCTTCCCTTATCCAAATTGTGCATCCTTTGTTTTCTTTGACATGATTATTCTCTCAAAAGGTCAAGCTATTTGATCAAAATCTTTTTACCTTTCAGGTATTACTGCTGCTTCAGGGATAGCAGCAAATCTAGGGATTCCGTTAACTCATCGAGGTGTCTCAAATAGTGTTAGATTTCTCACCGGCCACTCCAGGAAGGGAGGAACAGATCCTCTGTTTGTGGCAGAGAATGCAGCTGACCCTGATTCGACCTTGGTGGTTTACATGGGTTTGTCGACTCTCCCTTCTCTTGCTCAAAAGTTGGTGCATCATGGTCTACCGCCAAATACACCAGCTGTTGCGGTTGAGCGAGGGACCACACCTCAACAACGCATGGTAAGGATGGTCTCCTGTTAGTGTATTGGTATATCCCCATGTTGGACTTCAGATGGTGTCTTTTCTTTGCCTGATTACCTGACATTTGTTTCATTTTAGGACCTTTCTTATACAGATAGGAATTCAGATCGTATGAGTTTGCCCATTTCCATAATTCATGTATTTAATGGAATTGATCGTTGTTGCACGTGCATTCATACAGGTTTTTGCAGAACTCAAGGATGTTGCAGATGAAATTGTATCAGCCGAGTTAGTATCACCAACGTTGATCATCATTGGTAAAGTAGTGGCACTTTCACCGTTGTGGCCATATGCTTCAAAGGAAGTATCGTGTCTTGTAGAAGCACTATAGGCGCATCTGAGGCTTGACTACAAGTGTTTTGCCCATCCAATTAAACTTCAGACCTTAGGCTCGCGGCTTGTGAATTTCGGTAATTAGAGCTTTAGTTCCTAAGCCAGGATGATCTTCGATTTAGGCGGAAATTGGTTTTTTAGCAGCATGAGAGCGTGATTAATTAATTAAAACAGTAGAGTTTTTGAATGTTTTTGAAATGATTTGTACATGACAAGATTTTAATTAGGGGTGTTTGATCAAATTTGAAGCCTAAGGTAATGTAATGCGAGTTAGAATTTGAATAGTTTGGGTTGGATGGATGGGTCATCACATTGACAATTTGACGCAAGAGGATAAATATCAACAACTCTAATACAAACAGTGTAGCATGTGTTCATAGTTTCCTACACAACCCCGCCCATTGACCCATTTGCACATCATAATTCACGAGGCAAAGAAAGGAAAACTAATGAAAAGAAAATTTTGAGTTTTAATGATAAGGATGAAATAAAGGGTAAAGTGAATAGTATCATGATTGACTTTTTAGTGTAAAAATGTGGTTTTTCATTAAAGTGAACAATACCGTGGGCTTTTTGTTAAAACTCCCGGCAAAGAAACCATTCCACTTTAAGAAACCAAAGAGAAAGAAACTGTTGCTGTTCACTATCCGCGTGTGGGCAACCTGTCCTGTTTGGTAGGCCAGATGAGATAGGTTTGGCTAAGTGAAATGGTTTGGCTAAATGAAATGGACTTGAGTCAAGTCAATTGTTTGTTTTGTCAAAACGTGAGATAGAACATAATGAGTTATGAATCCACAATATAGTGCTTTATTTAACATATCCTTATATATAGGTTACAAGTCTCTAACAGCCTAATCTTATTCCTAAGGTTAAATCTTATTCAACCCACAAACTCATGTATTATATAACGAGTGCCTTGATAATTTTATCTTTTCCTAAAATCAAAGAAAGTCACGTTAATTGTAAGAGAATCAAGATTATTTGATAACCATTTTGTTTTCAGATTTAACTTTAAAGTCAAACAAAATAGTCGTCGCTTACCTTTCGTTCTTAGTTATTTAATTTTTTTGTTGTACTCTCTTTTATATTGTATAATTAAAATCAAACGATGAGTGACTGCGATTTTCTTAGACCCTAAAATCTTTAAGAACAAGACTCATGTTGTTAGTACCAACATTTATAAATGAAAGTTACGGTTTAATGTTTCAATGTTATATTTGTCTAAATTTTTTTTCTCAAACATTCATTATTATGACAACTCATTGCAAGGCTTAGTTCATTCATCTACCCTTTTAGTGTACATACAATAATAATAAAAAATAAATAAGAGGTTTCTAAGACTAAGGGTGGAAAAAAATACCGAAAAATCCAAACTGAACCGAAAAAATCCGAAAACCGAACCGAAAAAATCCCAAATCGAAAATACCGTATGGTAATCAATCTCACATTTTCAATTGTTCGGTAATCCCGAACCGAACCGAAATAATAATATATATATATTATTTAATTTTAAATATATTTTGGAATTGTAACAGTCGTCCGATATCTCAACCGTTGAATTCAAATAATACCCTCACTCAGTCACACTCTCTCTCAACCTCACCTCACCCTTCTCGACCTCACCCTCACTCAGACTCAGACTTTAGTCACTCTCTTTTCGACCTCACCTCACCCTACTCGACCTCACCCTCAGTCACTCTCTCTCTCTCTCGACCTCACCTCACCTCACCCTCCTCACTTATTTCTCTCGATCTCTCTCCTCCTCCTTATTTGCCGTCTTCGAATCCGGCCACACCCACATCACACTAGTGACCCTACCTCTCTCTCGACGGACCTATCACCTCTCTGATCTCTCTCTCTCTCTCTCTCTCTCTCTCTCTCTCTCTCTCGACTTCTCATCCCTCACTGTGGAGTCTTCCTTCTCATCCCTCACTGTGCACCGATTCTCCCCCAAATCAGGTAAATTTTGAATTAATTTAGGGTTTGAAAATTAATTTAGGGTTCAAATTCTAGATTAGGGTTTGTGAAATTTGTTCGCGTTTTGGATTGGATGTTCATGATTCTAGCCTTAATTTAATTTCTATATTTATGTTTACCATTAGGTTAGGGTTTATGAAAAAAAATTTCGATTTAGTAATGAGACTATTACTGGAATTTGGTTGACCCCACAGTTTCATGATGATCTGCATAGGTTAATAATTAGCTTCCTTTAAACATGATATGAATGTGACATACATGATAGAGAATGAGAATTGCTATCCCTTTCTCTGCATTTCTTCTCATGTCTAGAGAATGTTAATGTTGATTGTCTTGAGTTAATTTTTAGGCATGAGGCAGAGGTCATGTTCGTGACATGCTTGCAGCTGGAAGCCTGGACATTAAATGACCAATATGTGGTTAGATAGACCAAAGAATCTTTGAATAATTAAATGACCAATTTTGTATCCGTGCATGGAATATAAATATTCTGATGGTTTTTCATCATGTGTAAGGAATGGCTTCCAGAAAGATAGGTTTGCATAAAAATGATCTTGGGTAGTTTATAAAGATCTGGACTAAACATAGTTTTGCAAATGGACCTTCCTTATATGCTGTGAGCCTTTTCTAGTAGTGAAACATGCTTGAGTCATATTTTCCTTTTGGCGGTGATTAACCTTGTTATAATTTGTTTGTTATGACACACTAATGAATGCTTGAGATATGTCAGAGATTTTTTTGGAACACAGAAATTGAGTTTTTTTTTCCCTTCTTATCTGTGCATGGGTGTTCGTTATATGCTTTTAGATTCACTTATTTACTTTCATGTCATCGAGGTTATCAGCACCTGCTAGGACATGCAATTGCATTTTAATTGTTCTTGATGCAATAAAGCCAATAACTCACAATCGTCTAATTGAAAAGGAGCTCGAGGGATTTAGCATAAGGTCAGCTGTAGCTTTGTTTGTGAAATTCCGTCCTCAGATTTCACTATTTAAAATTACGTATTTCGTATTCGTACTCTTAGTTTTGACACTTTTATATTTACGGCGTATAATTTTTCTTTTCGATAAATAAAAGATGAAAATTGCCCCTATTGTATTAAACGAGAGTCTTTGCAGACGTATTTGATCCCTACATATTTTTCCATTTATCTTTACATATTTGGATAGTGCTCGTCGATACGAACGTGTGAGCGCAAACAAAATGTAATTTGGAATTATAACAAAGAAGGTATAGACGAGCAAAGACAGGGGCGAAATTATATTTGACCATTATCTAGAAGGCTCTAGATTTGCTGGAGCAGTGATATGGCGCCACATATGTGGCCAGATGGAAAGATGAGAGGAGAAATGAGGATTGGACTAACGAATCAGAAATAGGGGAAAAGTAGTGAACCAATGGGAAGGAAGGAAAGGAGGGAAATGGGAGAGGGGGAGAAATAGCCAACCCGGGTCGTTCCTTTGACCCGTTTCCCTGCTCGACCAGACCCAGTTTCCTCAACTCTTTCTCGTCACTTTTCGACAGATTTTACGACAAATCACGTCGGGCCAACACCTTCAAACGAGTCGCCGACCTTCCCTCTTCATTTCTCACTCTAGTTCGAGCCATCTTGGCTCTTGTTTCGTGAGAATCAAAGTCGTGGGCTTCGTGGGTGTCACCGCGACGATCTGCCGTTCCTGCAACTACCATCTTCGACTTCCACCATCAATTAACTTTCCTTGAATCCAGGAACCATGCCCAATCATTGGTCGGAGAGTTGGGGTTTGATTTGGTAGCAATTCAAAGAACATCCAATTCTAAGGTTCTGGCGGATCAAGGTGAATTCAAGCATCTTTTCGGCCGAATTGGACTTTGGCCCAAGTATGAAAGTTCTTCCCTTGTTGTGTTCTACAATTCTGTAAAATTTGGTAATTTTTGGAGTTTGTCGAAAAGTTGAGTTTTCTTTTTGCCGGAAACCGCCACCATTAGCGACGCGTGGCCAATGGGCTAACTTTGTCTTTCTAGGCTAAATGCGACATCTGATTGATGAAATTTCGTTGTTTGAACATATTTTCGTTAAGGTGCGCCACTTGACCATTATAACAATCAACGATCTGATCGTTAGATCGTTATCAAACTTTAATATGTTATTATACGTAGTATTTGAGGACCTTAGGAACTTAAGGATTGAGAATCCGATGTACGGATCTTTCTGAATTGAATTTCTAAGTTTGTAAAACCAAACGTTGGCCGCTACTTAATTTTAGCAATTGGCGAAGATCCAACCATTGGATTGTTCCGAAATTTTAGGATATTGTTCTAGAAGATAAATGAGACTCTTGAGAAATTACGGATTGTAAATCTGTGGGTAGATATTCTGGATCTAATTACGTAGGGTTGTGGACCCCACCATTAACTGAGAGTTGACTTTTGATCAACATGTTTCGAATCATTCTTAAATACTAAAATTAGTACTACTAAAGACTAAGTGAAGTCTAGTGGGCTTACATTGGTTAGTGAGTAACTTTAATACATATGATCTAGTTATTACCTTGAAATCTCCGTTCTAGTATTCTTTGTGGATACGGCATGATTTTAGAACTATGTTTTATATTAAATTATTATTTTATATTGGATTGGGAATACTTGTGAAATGTGATTTGAAGTGCCAGGTTGAATTGTTTGTGAAATGTGAGGCTTAGTAGTGGACCGTTAAGCCATTGTGATCGGGATTTATTGCTTCGATATCGTTTCATTTCTTGCTTCATTGATCCGTTCTAAATTTAGTACTTGTGCTTGCTTCATATCTCGTTTCATTGTTTCATTCTCATTTGTTGAGCTGTTATAAATTAACTACTTTGATTCATGTTCTTTTGAGCCGTTGATATGTTTCTTGGACTTCCACTCAATTTCGTTGAGTGGTCTAGAACTGGGTTCCACTAGGGTTCCGTTAAGTGGTCTGGTTCCCTACTCCGTCTAGATTTCGTTGAGTGGTTCGGAATCCCTCGTGCTCCACGATTCCGTTGAGTGGTCCGGAATCGTATCCTGCATTGGATTTCGTTGAGTGGTCCGATATCCATTGTACTCCGCGATTCCGTTGAGTAGTCTGAAATTGTATCTACTTGGATTCTGTTGAGAGGTTCGGAATCCCTTTACTCCATGATTCCGTTGAGTGGTCCGGAATCTCGCTTGATATTTTGGTTCCATTGAGTGGTCCGGAACCCGATGTTGTTGGATATCGTTGAGTGGTCCGAAATCACATTCTTCAGAGATGTAGGCTTTCGGCCGAACTGTGTTGCTATAGCCCTGCATTTTGGTGTATTGT